CAAAAACAAAGATATACAACAAACTGCTTTGAAAATGTCTTCGATAAATAGCGACATAGTAACTACAAGTTTAACTGCAGAACTTAATTTTCACCAAGATTCAAAATGATTTTGAATAAAAGATTTGCTTGATTAAATATGAAGATACATATTAGGAAGTTTTAATTCATGCTTAAATGAAATAGTTTTTTATTCTAAGGATCCTAGCAACTATTTTTGCTAACGTTAAAAATAGTTGCTAGGAATCGCTACAAACTACTGTAGTTTCAGTAGTAAACAGTAGTTTCGCTATTTGTAGCACGCTGCCTCCGGCAACTGATTTTTTACAACTAAACGATTACTAAGCATTGAAACAGGAGGGCTATCACCTTTTTTTTGTACATGATTAAAACATATTCTCCTGTTACTAGAGAATTTCTTTTTTTTTCAAAAAATATTTTTCTTTCTTAGTTGTAAAAAAATTATGTATTAATACATTACATGAAATAGAATTTTGTCCATTACAATTCTAAAAGATATCACCCTTAATAATTTTCGCTCTAATGATTTGATTTTCACTTGTGTCAATCTTAATGGTTACATCAGATGAAGTCACTCATTAAGAGTTCAAATCTTAATGATTGACACCAAATATGTTAATTAATGAGTGTTATCAAGTTACGAAATTAAACACAAAAAACTTTTTCTGACTAAATGTATTTTTATTTTTTACATATTTGGATTTTTGACTCTTGAAATCTGGGGATAGGGGTAACAGCAATCTAGGGAATTGTGGTTCTTATATATTATTTTTTTATGACCGTCATTGAGCACCGAAGCAATTTGTTTTTGGCTTTACGACTACTGATGGTCAACTCCGTAACCTTGTAATTTTGAACCCAATCCAGAAGAAAAAGGAGCTCTTGGATTGGGAGAAATTTGCCTTCGTGGAGCACTGTTTTGATGGAATGGACCAGCATTTGCGTTACATGGAGGGAGGAAACCACAAACCCTCCCACGGTTAGCCTAACCCATGAAGAAATTTTGTGGTAACACTGTCATCGGTGCAAGCCAGGTGCGGAATTTGTATCAAAGAACCATCACTGGGATTCGAACTCAGTTCATCTTATTGGGAGGCAAACGCTCCATCTCCTGAGCCACCACGACATCAAAGAGGGAGTGGGATGGAGAGTTATGGACTTAAAAATCTCCTTATTTGGAGAAACAGTAATTAATCATTGATACTTCAATAACTTGCAAAATCAATGGAGGAATTTTTGAATATGAGTGGAAAAAAATGCATACTACTTTTTTTGAAAATTTTATATTTTAGTACAAATATATAAATTGTCCGATAGTTTGACAGTTTTTTTAGTAACTATTAAACTGTTTTTGAATTAAAAAAATACCAGAATATGTTTTTGCTTGTAATTAAAAAATCAAAAAAAAAAAATATTTCTAAGGGACACCAATGTCTCATCTGTGTCAAAGCTAATTTTTGCTTAATTTTTCATTGACGTGTTACTTAATACTATTTGGTGGGTTAACGATTTCCTTTGATTAGTTTAAAATTTGAAATAAAATTCCTACGAATGATATATTTTTAAAGTTCAAGCAAAATCATATTTTAGCTATAACTGTCTTTTAAGAATGGGTTATTAAAAGCGTTTGGCGCACTCAAATGTGAGCTAACAATTTGTTCTGGTACGCTATTACTAGCTAGCAAAATGTAAACTTTTTTTAAATCGGAACTTAGGTAATGCAAGTTTATAGCGAAAACTGATTTTTAAGGGTTGGATAACCATTTTCTACTATTGGTTTGTTGACGAAATTAACTTTTCTGGTTACTTCCTTAATAATTTAGCCCTAATTCATTTTTGACATTTTTTTCCGCCAACAAGCTTTTAAGGGGGTAATGATTTCTATACTAAGCTTAAATTTATGTGCGAAATTTAAACTTAAAGTTTTTTAGTTAGAGATTTGCTAAACATGTTTTTGCAATGACTTATTTTTGGTGGATAAGCAGACTACGAAAATGCTTGTTGAGCAAGAGTAGTCTAATAATTCCTCTCAAAGGGGTAACATTTAAACGCAAAGTTGAACTTGTGATTTCTAGGCCAAAAATTAGCCAAAGGTTGTTTAAAAGATAAATTTGTTTTACTGGATGAACTTAAATTCAAAGGACAAATTGAAGATTAAATTAAAATTTGTCATGTTTTAGTCGATACTAACTTATTTTAGCTCCTAAATTTTTTTCTTTTTAGTTCTACTCTAATTTGTGCCATGCCCAATTTTTTGCGATACAATTCAGCACGGGCACAAGTCGTTACAGTGACAATATGGATGGTGGAAAATGAAGACTGAATTTGAGCATATCTTGCAAAATGCAGCAGAGTTGCAAACGGCAATAATCTCACCGATCCCAGCACATGCGGACCCTCAAATATTACATCAAACCATGATTGGTGCTTTCATACGCTATGAACCGATGGTATTGGATTACGTTGAACGTGAAAACCATGCTTTTGCATACTTAAGACGAAAATTAACATGGTAATGAAGGAAAAGAAATCTCATTTTCGAAAAGGGAAAGTTAAGCACTTTTTAAAAACACCACATGACAAAAGCACCTTTAAGGGCTTTTAAGTAACGAAAATCGAAAATAAGCACCTTTAAGTACTTTTTAAAACGCAATGCACCATGTCACTACGCACTTTTGTCAAAAAGTGGCACACTACGCTACAAACTAAGGAGAAAAGTAGTGACTACAGTAGTTTCACTACGTACAGTGCGTTGCTCCCGACCACTGCAATAGATTTTATGTCTTAATAGATCCCCTCGTGCAATTATTTTCTGAATAAAATAAGGTAGGGGAAGAAAGGTGCAAAAGCACCAATTACCAAATATTGTTTACTTTAAGTACTAAAATTACCTCAGATAGTAAAATTCCTTTGTAAATTTATAATGAAGATTTTAAAAATAAATTATAAGTCCACCACATATAAAAAAAAATGTCTTCATCAATAAGTAAACCCCTGTAGCAGAATTTTTTTGGGGGCTTTCTGCAACATGCCTCCTTAAAACTAATATCTTTCTGCAAGATAGTTTTAAAAATAAAAAAAATACCTGTTAATAATTTAAAGAAACAAAATCATCAACTTCAAAAAAAAACTTCTATTAAAAATTAAATTATATAACTTTTTTATTTGAGCATTTTTAATATTTTTGCTGATATTCCAGTATTTTGTAGGGGGAAAACACACTAATTATTTCCTTTTTTGCATTTTGTAAATCATGGCATTAGAAGAAATCGTGTAATCAGTTGCAGTAACTATCAAAAAAAATTTTTGACGACAAAATCACTCCAATCGGACTTTTCAAAAAGAAATTACTATATGTGAGTTTTCATTTTGAGATTCAGTTATTGTAATAAATAATATTGTATTAAAAATATAGGATTTTAATAACTATGGAAATCAATAGTAATAACTACATTAAAAAGATAGATCGAAAACTTTTGCAGGAAGGAATACCAAAATTTTTTACTTCCCAAAGGAAAAATTTTGTGTCCAACGACAGTGTCGCCTTGTCACCACGATTCTGCCACGGGGAAGTAAACAAAATTAACACACATGCAAGTTCTCCTTACAAAAATAGAGATCATATGATGACAATCTTTCATTTGACACTCATAATTTAAAAAATTTGAAATTCTGTTATAACTTTGACCTATTTCATGTTTTCAACCAAAATGTGCAAATCAATGTAAAGCTCTTTTCGAAAATTGATGACTAACATTAGAAAATGCATTCATTTAAGGGAAAGTCTAACCAAGTGAATAGATTAGAATTTTCGATCTCTATTTCAGCGGTTACTACTATAGTTGCCACTTCTAATATACTCAAATTGTTTCTTTCTTTCTTTTTTTAACACAGCAGTTTAAGACAGCTACTTTAAAATTTAAAAAAAAAATTCGGAGAACTTTTCTATTTTTAGTTCTTAATTCTTTGAAATAAATACAAATCAGAAGCATAATGTTTATAAGTAATTTAAAAGTAATATAAATTATTGATTTGAAAAAAATTTTTTTTAGTAGGATAGTTGTGAAATAAATTACTTTAACTTATAATATAATCAGGATAAAAATAATATAATCAGGAGCAAACACAAAGATATATGTTCAGTTTGAAATTACAATCAAAAGCATATTGTAACTTAAAAGAGTAAATTATTGAAATTTTTTCAAACAAAAAACTTTAGAATGGTGGTAAAAAAAAATTATTTTAACTTAATCAGGAAAATAAAATAATCAGGAGCAAAAACAAAGATATATGTTCCTTTTGAAAGTACAATTGACGTTATTCGATTATAAAATAAAGTCTAGATTATAATATTTAACAAATAAGTACTTTCTAGTAGTAGATGACACAGGTATATGTAGTACAACATTCAATGCTTCTATGTTAGATGGCAAATTACAAGACAATTGTAGAGTCGAATCACAATCCCTATAGAAAAATTTATTAGTATGCTGACAATTTCAAACATATTTTTTCAGCATTAAATAATTTGAAATGAATTGAATAAACATCAGATTAACCAATTTTAAAAAATTAATGCTTTTTAATTATCAAAAGTAATTTTTCTTGTGTAACAGAAAGAATTTCTTTAAAACACTATTTGTATGTTATCACTAAGGCCCGGATTTTGATGACATTTGCATTTTTTTGCACTTTTGGACATTTTTTGTCCTTTAGAGCAATTTTTGAGATTTATAGGGCATTTTCTTTAAATTTTGGGGCGTATTTTGCATTTTAAAGCATTTTTTAAATTTTTTGTTAATTTTTTTCTAATTTTTATTATTTTTTATAATTTTTTATTATTACACTGGCTTCCAAACAATGAAGAAAATCTCTAGGATATTAAAAGGTGAAGCAACATCTTTTCAAATTGAGGAAGAATTGTCAGTAAGTGTGACCGTCCTTTTCAAGTACGCACCAATAACATCAGTAGACGTTGAAAGAAGCTTCTCCTGGTATAAAAATTTGCTTTCAGACAAGAGACGCTCGTTTACATTTCAAAATATTAA